ATCAAATATTTGGATAAGCCTAGCTTCCCTTGGCATCCATGAATACACACCACTGCCTGGCAAAACAGCAGCAAACAACCATGCTTTATCTACAAGGTGGAACAAAAAAAGATGCCTATTGAGATGTAATGAGTGTGGAGGAAGCAAAGGAACAGAGGGAGTTGTATTTTGTGTCTCCCTGAGATGTCAGCTAGTGTATTGGAGGAGCTAATCAAAAGGAATGCTGCTGTCGCTATCTGTTCCATGCAGACCAGCCATGTGTTTATGTTTTGCATAATTTTTAAGGACAAACAAGATATTTGAATATTAGTCAGATTTACTCAAGGAAAGATATGCCTTCTGTTCCTATACTACCTCATTGCGTCAGTTTATACAACTTTATAATGACATTAGAGCTCCTTCAATGACACAGCTATTAACCAAAATAACAGTATGATAATTGTAGCCTATTGTCAAAGAAAGAATAGGAAGTACATCACAGTACGTAACAGTGTCATTGGAATTTAATCCATTTTAGAATAAGGCAATGGGAATGTTGGGAATGGAAATAGTGCATGATCCTCACACAGCATGAGAGGTGTAGGACATGCCGTAGTGTTTAAAATTGAACTGCTAATGGCCTAACTAGTGCCCCTAAACCTGCCTGAATGACCGTATAGTGACATTACCATTGGTAAAGCAAGCAAAGTGATGTTTGCATGCGCATGCCACTGTACTGAGAAAGTTCCTCTCATGGTAGCGATTATCGGATGGATACATTTTAATGCATTTTTGATTAACTCATGTATTCGATGGGTTTAGGTCTTTTATTACTTTCCCTTGTTGTGGTAAAATCATCTTAGCACTTAGTTAGCTGTTAGACTATAATAGAGTGGATATTCACAAATAAGCTATTTGAAATACACAGTATGTACTGTACACTTAAGCCTTTTCTCCTTATTATTATCATTCTGTGTTTCATCTATTACAGGGTTTCCCAAACTTGGTCCTGGGGCCTCCGAGTGGTGCATGTTTTGTTCAGCTGTGTAGTGCTAGGGCAAACAACAAAACATGCACCTATGGTAGGCCCCAGGACCAAGTTTGGGAAACCCTCTTCTAGAATGATTATAGAATTATTCTATAAGGTGAAAGAGTCAGTTATAATGCATCATTCCATTCTCTGTAGAAACACTGAGTAGACATTTTGTGAGCAATATAGTTCTAAATAACACCTCATCTGAAAAATACCTATTTTCTTTTTGTCACCTTTCTGCATTGGCAGAACATCTTGGGATTGAATTTATGGGTATGGATAGTTCCTTTCTCTTTAGTTTGCAGATGTAGGATTAGAAGCTTGAGCCTGCCCCTTCAACTCCAGCCAGTTTCCTTGTGCCAATGAAGGGATCATACAGCCATAACATACCATATTTGTAATAGAATAATAAACATACATTTAGTTCAAATATGCTGCCAATCTACCAAGCCTTTATGCTGTTATTCTGGCAGCATGGCCAAAAATGGCAATGTGATTAAAGTCATATTGTTTCACTCAAGTTCGAAGCCGCATGGTGCAGCCAGCATCTACAATGCTTGGTAATGACACCTTCAATTATACATTTTTGGAAAACCTCAATGTGTTAGCGTATAGTCAAATTAACCTGCACACATACAAACAAACAAAGAGTAGGTCCTCAAATCACCACCATAAACTCACATTAGACTCATTCAAACTTTTGAGCTACAGTAGACTGTATCTCTTGTTGTTCTGTCAGACACACATTAGACAGAGTAGGTGCCCATAGAGACTGCAGTGTGGTTATGCTGTATGTTCAGATCCCTTCAGCTCATGCTTTTGCCTTTCCCTTGCATCTCCCCTGATCCCTCCTCTGGTCCAACCAGTATTTAGTATGTCATGCCAAATACGTTGACAGCGTCCTCCCTTGCTGCCCATTCATTTCAGCTCCTTCTTTCCTGTCTTCCTATTTCCTACTGTACCGTGTGGATGTGTGTGTGTATATGTGTCCATCCCCCAACAGTATCCCCTTTGTTCTCCTGTCATCTCATGGTTCCTCCCCTTGTCTCATCGGAGTGATGTCTGTTTTTGCTGTGGGTCTTTTAAGTGATGTTGATGTTAACTGAACAATTTACCAAAGAATTGTTCTTCATTTCAAAAAGTGATTGTTTGTAGCATCATTTGTTCACAGGACACGTAATACTGAGGTGAACCGACCAATTTTTTTAAAGGGAGTAGAGTACGAACTAGGTGCGATAACTGAACAGTTCATATAATTATACATTTCACTTGATCCCCTAATCTGGTGACTTGTAATCTGTGAAAATATTCCATAATTCCAAGCGCTGGGTCCTGTGAACAAACAATGTTGCACTGTTTGCAGTATTAGAATATTAACATTACACAAAGGAGTGATTTTAATTGTCTTGATGAATAACAATATTTTATATAAAGTATGCATCTGTTGTATTAGTAACACCTGGGCTGGTTAGAATGCATTGTGGAGAATGCATTTTCTGTGGTTTGCCTAGTCATGATTACGGAGCCCGACCTTGAACTAACACTTCCTCGCATTCCAACTGGATTTAGCAGAACTGCCTCCTCAGATCAATCTATTCGATTTCCTCCGTCTCGGTTAACAGCCAACACCCACTAATACGATGTTACATCTGGGCCATGTTCAGTAGCCAAACATTGTTGAACATTGCAGATAGAAATGACATGAATAAAGCCAACGTGATTCCTCTAAAACGTTGCGTCCTGCTGAATGTGCCCCGGTTTGATTGTTTCTGTGAATGTATAACCATAATACATAAAACTAAAACACGTTTGTTCGTTTCCCTTGGGATTTCTGAGTAGAGTTTGGTTTGTGTGACAGTTAGGCCTGCATGTTGTGGAGTTTTAAGAATGCATTGTCCTCTTTTCCAGAAGCTGAGGAGCTGTATCAGAAACGTGTATTAACAATAACAGGAATCTGCATTGCACTCCTAGTGGTTGGAATCATGTGTGTGGTTGCCTACTGCAAAACAAAGTAATTCACGTCACATTTTTACGCAAAACTCAAAATCAGTATTTACTAGTATCCTTATTACATATTTTGTAGTTTTCTCTGAGGTAATAGCCTACAGATTTGAACATTTTAAATGTTTTATTGACGATCACAACATCTGATGTCAACCTTTGACAAAATCTGTCATCCCTCTGATTTTTGCAAAGGCTAAATGGCTGGTCAGTCTCACAATGCAGTTTGTCTTTACATGCACAGAAAGCAGAGGAAAAAGCTCCATGATCGTCTGAGGCAGAGCCTACGAAATGAGAGAAACAGCATGGCTAGTATGGCTAATGGACGTACGACTTATAACCCTTCCCTTGAAAACGTCCAGCTTGTCAATGTAAGTCACTCACGTAGCTAATTTATGTCTAATTTATGTCTTTATGTCTAGTGACTAGGCCAACTCTTATGCTAACGTTCAAATATACATTGCCTTAAGAAAGTATTCACACCCCTTGACTTTTTCCACACTTTGTTGTGTTACAAGTTGGGATTAAAATGAGTTTGTCTTTTCTTTTTTTTATGAACTACACAAAATACCCTGTCAAAGTGTAAGAAAAATTCTAACATTTAAATTAAAAAAATACACTAATATATCTTGATTACATAGGTATTCAACCCCTTGAGTGATTACAGCTGTGAAATTTTCTGGGTAAGTCTCTAAGAGCTTTGCACACTTGGATTGTACAATATTTGCACATTATTTTTTTATTTATTATTCAAGCTCTGTCAAGTTGGTTGTTGATTATTGCTAGATATCCATTTTCAAGTATTGCCATAGATTTAAGTCAAAATTGTAATTAGGCCACTCAGGAACATTCAATGTCATCTTGGTAAGCAACTCCAGTGTATATTTGGCCTTGTGTTTTAGGTTATTGTCCTACTGAAAGATGAATTTGTCTCCCAGTATCTGTTGGACAGCAGACTGAACCAGGTTTTCCTCTATAATTTTGCATGTGCTTAGTTCTATTCCGTTTCTTTTTATCCTAAAAATGTCACTAGTCCTTGCTGATGACAAGCATACCCATAACATGATGCAGCCACCACCATGATTGAAAATATGAAGAGTGGTACTCAGTGATGTGTTGTGTTGGAGTTGCCCTAAACATAATGCTTTGTATTCAAGACATAAAGTTAATTTCTATTCCACAACTTTTGCAGTTTTACTTTAGTGCCTTATTGCAAACAGGTTTTAGAACATATGCTGTACAGGTTTCCTTTTCATCCTGCCATTTAGGTTAATATTGTGGAGTAACTACAATGTTGTTGATCCATCCTCAGTTCTCTCCTATCACGGCCATTAAACTCTAACTGTTTTAAAGTCACCATTGGCCTCATGGTGAAATCCCTGAGCGGTTTCCTTCCTTTCGAAAAACATAATTCCACGTTGACATTATGGGCTATTGTGTGTGTAGGCCAGTGACACAAAATCTCAATTTAATCCATTTGAAATTCAGGCTGTAAAACAACAAAATGTGGAAAAGGTCAAGGGGTGTGAATACTTTAAGGCACTGAATATATTTTTGTTGATTTGTTTCAGAGTAAATAGAGCTACAGTATCTGCACATTTCATAATCACATGACGTGATTTCACGGCCATATTATTGATGCTTCATTTGATTGTTTCCGTTTCCCTTCTTATAGCAATTTATGTCTAAAAATGCATTGCCCACACAGCATCTACTCGTGAAGGAAACGGAAACGTCCTTCTCCACGAGCCAGTACACATCATCAGCGCATCAATCCACAACGGTCACCCACACCTCCAGTCAAAGGTAACCCTATACACGACAGCTTTCCTTCTTCCTTTCCTCCCATTTGTAAAAGTTGTCTGCTTTTAGAAAGAGGTGAACTATAGCGCTGGCTTTAAGAAGATACTGTAATAATGTGTCTAAGATAAAGTCCTATTATAGAATGTGTTCTTTTTATCTCCTTCAGTGTGTCATAACTGTCAGAATGCGTTACCGCGTTACCGCCCTACGCAAGTCCTTCTCATTTCCCCCCACCCACCCCCGCTTTTCCTCCTTTCCTATTTTCCTCTTTTCCCTCCGTTAATGTCAGGGGTTTGAAAAGCAATTAATTCACGTTGGGGGGGAATTCCGACCCGAGTTAAGGCACGTAAATTGAACGTAATTCCCTTTTTATGCACTTTTTTCTCTATGTGTATTCTGACCTTGAATTTAAGCATGAGAATAGCGTGTTATTCACCTGCTATCCGTTTGGGGTGGAGATCGAATAAAGGAAGTGTGTCTACAGATACGCCGTATTCTGACCTTGATTTACTGCCCTTATAATTCCACCACCTTTACAGGCGAGGAAACCATGAATAAGGTCTAGCGAACCTACCGGTTCCAAGTGGAAATAGCATCTACTTTATTATTTCCGATATAAATAACACCATTCTCCATGCACTGTAATTTACAACTTGATAAGAGCTATTGATAAGAGCTAGGTAAATGAGTAATCCGTTTGGATAAGGGAATTGTAAATATAAATGACACTTGTTTGAGATCTATTTTACGTTATAATTGCTGGAGAATGTGAAACCAGTCATATGGTAGCAAACTGAAGCATATCAACTTTCCCACAGTAAAGTTTATGAAATGCTGTGCCATTATGCAGAATTTAAACTGTACAGCCTTTTAACTTGCAGGGATGGGCACTCTCGAATATCTTAATCATAGGCTACCCCACCTTTCTGTTTCCTATTTCTATCATGTTAAATATTAACCTCTATCAGCAGACCCGGTGCCAAGGGGCAGTTTATATCGGTGAGGGGGCTACGTTTTTTGGGGTTCATGGTTGGAATTATATTGAATTCTGCACATATTGTGCTATATACCACAATAAACATAGTGTTCAAATGCAGAGACTCCGAGATCATTGAGTGCTTTTGAAGTGACAGGTTGGCGCGAAATCTGTAGCCTTTCTCCCCTGCACTGTATCAACGCAGAATAGGGGCCTTCTAGCAGTGTTTGCCACACACCCCTCCCCTTATTCTGGTCTCAACATTTTAAAATTATGCTCGAGACACATTCCTCACACATAAGTAGTAACCTCAAACATTGCCAGGACGTATCAGTGGTCATTTTCCCTTCAACCGAAATCATTACGGTTCAGTATTTTCCAACCACCCTCCGTAAACGCACACACTACCCAAACTAATGGACATGTGAACACTTTGCCCAGGCCCTGAACACTGTCCTCTAACTTTTTGGCGATGCGAGGGCACAAACTTCCTCGCATGGGCCTTTGTTGAAGCAGGTAAGGGAGTGTTCTCTCCCGAACGATACACAGTGGACCCTGGAGTTGTCTCCAGACCCCCCAGCAGTGACATATCTTCCATTCCAAACCAATAAACATTTTGCAGCGCAGTCATTTCATCTCCAAGCTTGGGGAAAGGGTCAGAGCACACCCTCTCCTCTCCAGGCTCTGGAGAGAGCTCGTTCATAATCAATTCAGTGTCAGTCAATGTCGGGATGAAAACCTCACACCCTATCATATGGCCCCCTATAAGAACAGCAGAGGAGCAGGAAAGAGACAGTTCGGCCTCCAACACGGTGTCCTCACCAGGGCCTGACTGGTAAACTTGACCCCGCCCTTATAAATCTAAATCAAATATTACAGGCAGAGAAGACACATATCACATTATTCACTTAGCCTACCACAGAGAAGAGAAGTGTTTTTTCCCGCTTTTTATGAAAACGCAATGGAGTCATACCTAACCGCCCCAGTGGCTTTCCATAGCCTCCCTACACACACCACTGCGCGCTCTGTCCATTGTGCTGACAGCGCAGCAGAGTATACAGATTTATTTGGCGCCAACCTGTCACTCAATTTTTTATTTTTTTTATTTCACCTTTATTTAACCAGGTAAGCCAGTTGAGAACAGGTTCTCATTTACAACTGCGACCTGGCCAAGATAAAGCAAAGTAGTGCAATAAAAACAACAGAGTTACATATGGGGTAAAAAACATAAAGTCAGAAATACAACAGAAAATATATATACAGTGTGTGCAAATGTAGCAAGTTATGGAGGTAAGGCAATAAATAGGCTATAGTGCAGAATAATTACAATAGTATGAACACTGGAATGCTAGATGTGCAAGAGATTATGTGAAAATAGAGATACTGGGGTGCAAAATAGCAAAATAAATAACAATATAGGGATGAGGTAGTTGGGTGGGCTAATTTCAGATGGGCTGTGTACAGGTGCAGTGATCGGTAAGGTGCTCTGACAACTGATGCTTAAAGTTATTGAGGGAGATAAGAGTCTCCAGCTTCAGAGATTTTTGCAATTCGTTCCAGTCATTGGCAGCAGAGAACTGGAAGGAATGGCGGCCAAAGGAGGTGTTGGCTTTGGGAATGACCAGTGAGATATACCTGCTGGAGCGCAGACTACGGGTGGGTGCTGCTATGGTGACCAATGAGCTAAGATAAGGCGGGGATTTGCCTAGCAGTGATTTATAGATGGCCTGGAGCCAGTGGGTTTGACGACGAACATGTAGTGAGGACCAGCCAACAAGAGCGTACAGGTCACAGTGGTGGGTGTCAGAGTGGTGTAGGTGGATGATAGGAATCAGGCGCAGGAAACCAGGAGGACGTCAACAGAACTTTACTAGTCCAAACAACAGTATACGTCGCCAACCCAACCGGGTGGCGCGAACAAATTACGCACGAAAAATACACAGTGCGAGAAAATAAGGGAAAGCGCACACAGTGCGAGCTCTCGGAAATAACACAACGAGAGAACAAACTCGATGAGGCAGGCTGACAACAACAATCACGCATAACACCTGCCCCAAACAAACCAACTAAATAAGGAGAATAATCAAGACACAAATAAGGGACAGGTGTTATGCACAGACAAAACCAAAAGAACAAAACACATCGAACGGTGGCAGCTAGTACTCCGGAGACGACGACCGCCGAAGTCCGCCCGAACAAGGAAGAGGAGCAGCCTCGGCCGAAACCGTGACAGTACCCCCCCCTTGACGCGCGGCTCCAGCCGTGCGCCGACCCGGAGCTCGAGGACGACCCGGACGACGCGGAGCAGGGCGCGCAGGATGACCCCGATGGAAATCGGTCAGTAGGGACTGGTCTAGCACGTCCCTCCTTGGCACCCAGCACCGCTCCTCCGGACCGTACCCCTCCCACTCCACGAGATATTGAAGACCCCCCATCCGGCGTCTAGAATCCAGAATGGACCTCACGGTGTACGCCGGAGCCCCCTCGATGTCCAACGGGGGCGGAGGAGTCTCCTCAATCTCAAAGTCCTGGAGTGGACCAGCTACCACCGGCCTGAGGAGAGACACATGGAACGAGGGGTTAATATTTTTGTAGTCAACAGGTAGTTCTAACCTATAACTCACCTCGTTCAATCTCCTCAGGACTTTAAACGGCCCCACAAACCGCCGACCCAGCTTCCGGCAGGGCAGGCGGAGGGGCAGGTTTCTGGTTGAGAGCCAGACTCGATCTCCAGGTGCGTACACTGGCCCCTCACTGCGGTGTAGGTCGGCGCTCGTCTTCTGTCGACGTATGGCACGCTGCAGATGGACGTGTGCAGCGTCCCACGTCTCCTCCGAGCGCCTTACCCACTCATCCACAGCGGGGGCCTCGATCTGGCTCTCATGCCATGGTGCCAGCACCGGCTGGTACCCCAACACACACTGAAACGGGGTTAGTTGGGTGGAGGAGTGGCGAAGAGAGTTCTGCGCCATCTCCGCCCAGGGCACATATCTCGCCCACTCCTCCGGCCGGCCCTGACAGTATGACCTCAGAAACCTACCCACATCCTGGTTGACACGTTCAACCTGCCCATTACTTTCCGGGTGGTAACCCGAGGTAAGGCTTACCGACACCCCCAACCGTTCCATAAATGCCCTCCACACTCTCGAGGTGAACTGGGGGCCTCGGTCAGACACTATATCCTCGGGTACCCCGTAATGCCGGAAGACATGGGTGAACAGAGCCTCCGCGGTCTGCAGGGCAGTGGGTAGACCCGGCATGGGAAGGAGACGACAGGCCTTCGAGAACCTATCCACAACGACCAGGATGGTAGTGTTTCCCTGTGAGGGGGGAAGGTCGGTAACAAAATCCACCGAGAGGTGGGACCAGGGTCGTTGTGGAATAGGCAGGGGTTGTAACTTACCCCTGGGCAAATGTCTGGGCGCCTTACACTGGGCACACACCGAACAGGAGGAAACATAAATCCTCACATCCCTAGCTAACGTTGGCCACCAGTACTTCGTGCTAAGGCAGTGCACTGTCCGGCCGATACCCGGATGACCAGAGGAGGGAGACGTGTGAGCCCAACAAATGAGGCGATCGCGTATCTCGAGCGGAACGTACGTCCGACCCACAGGACACTGAGGAGGACTCGGGTCGGTGCGTAACGCCCGCTCGATCTCACCATCAACCTCCCACACCACCGGAGCAACCAGACAAGACTCCGGTAGTATGGGCGTGAACTCAACTGACCTCTCCTCCGCGTCATACCGCCGGGACAGAGCATCTGCCTTCCCGTTCTGGGACCCAGGGATGTATGTGATCTTAAACACAAACCGGGCCAGGAACATAGTCCAACGAGCCTGGCGAGGATTCAGTCTCCTAGCTGCCCGGATGTACTCCAGGTTACGATGGTCAGTTTGAATGAGGAAAGGGTGTTGAGCCCCCTCGAGCCAATGCCGCCACACCTTTAGGGCCTGTACCACGGCTAACAGCTCCCTGTCCCCTACGTCATAATTCCGCTCCGCCGGACTGAGCTTCTTAGAGTAGAACGCACAGGGACGGAGTTTAGGTGGAGTACCAGAACGCTGGGAAAGAACGGCCCCTATTCCGGCCTCTGACGCGTCCACCTCTACTTGGAACGGTAAAGAGGGATCCGGATGCGCCAACACCGGCGCCGAGGTAAACAGGCCCTTCAGTCTCCCAAATGCCCTGTCCGCCTCAGCTGACCACCGCAAGCGCACCGGACCCCCCTTTAACAGAGACGTTATGGGAGCTGCCACCTGTCCAAAACCCCGGATAAACCTCCGGTAGTAATTCGCAAAACCCAAGAACCGTTGCACCTCCTTCACCGTGGTTGGGGTTTGCCAATTACGCACAGCTGACACCCGGTCTACCTCCATCTTCACCCCTGACGCAGATAACTGGTAACCCAGAAAGGAGACCGACTTCTGAAAAAACAGACATTTCTCTGCCTTGACATATAGGTCATGCTCCAACAGCCTCCGCAATACTCGGCGCACCAGGGCTACATGCTCAGCACGGGTAGGACTATACACCAGAATGTCGTCGATGTACACAACCACTCCCTGTCCCTGCATGTCCCGGAAAATCTCATCAACGAAGGATTGGAAGACTGAGGGAGCATTCATCAACCCATATGGCATGACTAGATACTCGTAGTGCCCTGAAGTCGTGCTAAACGCTGTCTTCCATTCATCGCCCTTACGGATGCGCACCAAGTTATATGCGCTCCTAAGATCCAATTTTGTAAAGAACCGCGCGCCGTGCAGTGACTCCGTCATAGTCGCAATCAGAGGAAGTGGATAGCTGTACTTCACTGTGATCTGATTGAGACCGCGGTAATCAATACACGGCCGCAGACCTCCATCCTTCTTCTTCACAAAAAAGAAACTTGAGGAAACGGGTGAAACGGAGGGCCGTATGTACCCCTGTCTAAGAGACTCAGAGATGTACGTCTCCATCGATTTTCTCTCCTCTTGAGACAAGGGATACACATGGCTCCGCGGGAGAGCTGCGCCTGACTGGAGATCTATCGCACAATCCCCCCGTCTATGAGGCGGCAGCTGCGCAGCCCTAGTCTTACTGAACGCCAGTGCCAAATCCTCATACTCGGGGGGAATCTGCAGTGCTGGCATTAGATTCGGACTCTCCACCGAGGTCGCCCCTATGGAAACACCCAGACACCGCCCCTCACATTGAGCAGACCACCCTTTAAGAGCTTTCTCTCGCCACCCAATAATAGGGTCATGAGTCATCAACCAGGGAAGACCCAGCACCACCGGATACGCAGGAGAGTCAATCAGATAAAGCTGAATACTCTCCTCATGACCCTCCTGCGCCATCATCTGAAGTGGTGCTGTGACCTCCCTAATCAACCCAGACCCTAACGGACGGCTATCTAGGGCATGGACGGGGAAAGGCTTATCAACAGGAAGGAGGGGAATCCCTAACTCTAAACAGAACTGGCGATCTATAAAATTCCCAGCTGCGCCTGAATCTACCAGCGCCTTATGCTGGGAACGAGGTGCAACCTGTGGGAAACAAACAGGCAAGGTTAGGTGCGCGACAGAAAGCTCTGGGTAAGCAGGGCGCCTACTCACCTGGGGGGACCCCCCAATGCTAGACCTGCCATCTCCTCCCCTGGAGGACCCGCCCCAGCACCTAGCCGCAGTGTGCCCTCCACGACCACAGTTGGTGCAAGGGCCAGGCCCCCTCGGGCTCCTCCTCCTACGTTCCCTAGCGCCAGCACCTCCGAGCTCCATAGGGCTAGGCTCAGAGGTGCTGGAGAGTGGAATGGGCAGACCCCCCCCTCCGGGACGCCCACGGGTGGCGAGCAGGGTATCCAGCCGGATGGCCATGTCGACCAGCTGGTCGAACGTCAACGACGTGTCCCTGCACGCCAACTCTCGCTGGACGTCCTCCCGGAGGCTGCAGCGGAAATGGTCGATATGGGCCCGCTCATTCCACCCTGCGTCAGCCGCTAGGGTCCGGAACTCCAAGGCAAAGTCCTGTGCGCTCCTCATCCCCTGTCGGAGGTAGAACAGACGCTCCCCCGCCGCCTTCCCCTCTGGTGGATGGTCGAATACAGCACGGAAGCGGCGGGAGAACTCCGCATAGTTCGTGGTTGCGGCGTCCATTCTCCTCCACTCGGCGTTGGCCCACTCCAACGCCTTGCCGGTGAGACAGGAGATGAGGGCTGAGACGCTCTCGTGTCCCGAGGGCGCCGGGTGGACGGTGGCGAGGTAGAGCTCCACCTGCAGCAGGAACCCTTGACACCCGGCGGTGGAGCCGTCGTACGCCCTCGGGAGCGAGAGCCGAATCCCACTGGGTTCCGGAGATGTACCCGGAGGGCTGACCGCTGGAGCTGGGTCGGTGGTTGGAGGTGTGGGCACCCCGCTGGTCTCCCATCGGTGTAGGGTGGTCATCACCCTATCCAGGGCGTGACACACCTGGTTCATACGGTCCTCCTGACCACGAAGCCGTTCGTCCAGATCGGCGGTCGGCGCGGTCGCTCCTGCTGATTCCATGATGATGCGTGATTCTGTCAGAGTGGTGTAGGTGGATGATAGGAATCAGGCGCAGGAAACCAGGAGGACGTCAACAGAACTTTACTAGTCCAAACAACAGTATACGTCGCCAACCCAACCGGGTGGCGCGAACAAATTACGCACGAAAAATACACAGTGCGAGAAAATAAGGGAAAGCGCACACAGTGCGAGCTCTCGGAAATAACACAACGAGAGAACAAACTCGATGAGGCAGGCTGACAACAACAATCACGCATAACACCTGCCCCAAACAAACCAACTAAATAAGGAGAATAATCAAGACACAAATAAGGGACAGGTGTTATGCACAGACAAAACCAAAAGAACAAAACACATCGAACGGTGGCAGCTAGTACTCCGGAGACGACGACCGCCGAAGTCCGCCCGAACAAGGAAGAGGAGCAGCCTCGGCCGAAACCGTGACAGTGGGTAGTGTATGGGGCTTTGGAGACAAAACGGATGGCACTGTGATAGACTACATCCAATTTGCTGAGTAGAGTGTTGGAGGCTATTTTGTAAATGACATCGCCGAAGTCAAGGATCGGTAGGATAGTCAGTTTTACGAGGGCATGTTTGGCAGCATGAGTGAAGGAGGCTTTGTTGCGAAATAGGAAGCCGATTCTAGATTTAACTTTGGATTGTAGATTCTTTATGTGAGTCTGGAAGTTGAGTTTACAGTCTAACCAGACACCTAGGTATTTGTAGTTGTCCACATACTCTAGGTCAGACCCGTCGAGAGTGGTGATTCTAGTCGGGTGGGCGGGTGCCAGCAGCGTTCGATTGAAAAGCATGCATTTAGTTTTACTAGTGTTTAAGAGCAGTTGGAGGCTACTGAAGGATTGTTGTATGGCATTGAAGCTCGTTTGGAGGTTTGTTAACACAGTGTCCAATGAAGGGCCAGATGTATACAAAATGGTGTCGTCTGCGTAGAGGTGGATCTGAGAGTACCAGCAGCAAGAGCGACATCATTGATATACACGGAGAAAAGTGTCGGCCCAAGAATTGAACCCTGTGGCACCCCCATAGAGACTGCCATAGGTCCAGACAACAGGCCCTCCGATTTGACACACTGAACTCTATCTGAGAAGTAGTTGGTGAACCAGGCGAGGCAGTCATTTGAGAAACCAAGGCTATTTAGTCTGCCAATAAGAATGCGGTGGTTGACAGAGTCGAAAGCCTTGGCCAGGTCGATGAAGACGGCAGCACAGTACTGTCTATTATCAATCGCGGTTATAATATCGTTTAGGACCTTGAGCGTGGCTGAAGTGCACCCGTGACCAGCTCGGAAACCGGATTGCATAGCGGAGAAGGTACGGTGGTATTCGAAATGGTCGATGATCTGTTTGTTAACTTGGCTTTCGAATACTTTCGAAAGGCAGGGCAGGATGGATATAGGTCTGTAGCAGTTTGGATCTAGAGTGTCACCCCCTTTGAAGAGGGGGATGACCGCGGCAGCTTTCCAATCTCTGGGGATCTCAGACGTTATGAAAGAGAGGTTGAACAGACTAGTAATAGGGGTTGCGACAATTTCGGCGGCTAGTTTTAGAAAGAAAGGGTCCAGATTGTCTAGCCCAGCTGATTTGTAGGGGTCCAGATTTTGCAGCGCTTTCAAAACATCAGCTGTCTGAATTTGTGTGAAGGAGAAGCGGGGGGGGGGTATGGGCAAGTTGCAGCAGAGGGTGCAGAGTTGGTGGCCGGGTTAATCATTTGAACTTTTTTGCTATTTTTATATAGGGACATAAAACTACAACTGAGGAGGCACAAGTTGGAACTGAGGGGGTAAAGCCCTCTTTAGCCCCCTCGTGGAGCCCGGTACGACTACCAGTATCTACGATCAGTAGGCCTAAGAACCACACATATTTAACTGCCAATTTATTGTTAGTTCCCTTCAGTTGGTACTGTATAGCCTACATTATCATTCGATTTAATTACATTGTTTCGTTTACCTTCATTTGCTTCTTCTGTAAACGCCGTCACAGCCTTGTGGTTGTTGCTGAGGATCATTAGTTACAGTCGATAATATTTATGGCTAATTAAATTGTTATGGAGCAGTTATGGAACAGTTTGAACCCGACGCATGGCGCAATACTTGGCCGTGTCATCACACAGTTCCATGGTTAGTGCAGACAATAGACGAGGGTATAGCCTACTATGGTACACTATTCTCCCTATTATAAATATATGTACACTAATCTTCCAACATTACAATGGGTTGAAGAACTGAATGTGGCAATTTTCAGATGAATCAAAACACCGTTTGTGTAAAGGCTCTCCAAACCAGTTTTTTATGATTCACAAATACTTTCCTGAATCTAAATAATCTACCAATTGGTGCTGAAACAGAGACAAATATGCATATATTTAGATTTTAAACCCAGGTTTGCCATAGACATGATTTACTGTGTTTACAGCTTACGCCAGTGTCTGAAGCAGCCAGTGTTTTGCCTTCATTTAAGAGAAGCAATTAATTCCCCTCTTCATTCTCCTCTGTCTCCCCACCTCAGCTGGAGCAACGACCACAGCGAGAGTGCCTTCTCTCACAGCCGCTCTGTCTTGGTGATGTCATCGGCGGAGAACAGCCGGCACGCCACGCCCAGCCACCGGGGTCGTCTGAACGCCACGGCCGGCGCCAGAGACCTGAGTGCCTACCTAAAGGACACTCGAGACACGCCAGACTCCTACAGGGACTCGCTGTACAGCGAGAGGTAGGAGAAAGACGCCCTAATGTAGCTAATGGTGCTACGTGCCGCTTTACACACAACCTCCCTTCAGCCCATACACCTAATGGAGGGTTTGCGATTAGTGATAGTGTCTGCCACGTCTTAATGATCAGAGTTAAATAGAGATATCCATTTAAGAATAATGTATGTTTTAGAGATTATACTTGGTAATAATTTTTTGGGAACAACATACATTTTATATATTATGGATTTGTTTTATAAATATACAGTTAACCAAGATTTAACCCAAGATTTGTGGTATTTACATTGCCATGTTATCCTTTCTTTCTCCTGAATAAAATAGTTTTTTATATACAGTGGGGAGAACAAGTATTTGATACACTGCCGATTTTGCAGGTTTTCCTACTTACAAAGCATGTAGAGGTCTGTAATTTTTATCATACGTACACTTCAACTGTGAGAGACGGAATCTAAAACAAAAATCCAGAAAATCACATTGTATGATTTTTAAGTAATTAATTTGCATTTTATTGCATGACATAAGTATTTGATCACCTACCAACCAGTAAGAATTCCGGCTCTCACAGACCTGTTTGTTTTTCTTTAAGAAGCCCTCCTGTTCTCCACTCATTACCTGTATTAACTGCACCTGTTTGAACTCATTACCTGTATAAAAGACACCTGTCCACACACTCAATCAAACAGACTCCAACCTCTCCACAATGGCCAAGACAGGAGAGCTGTGTAAGGACATCAGGGATAAAATTGTAGACCTGCACAAGGCTGGGATGGGCTACAGGACAATAGACAAGCAGCTTGGTGAGAAGGCAACAACTGTTGGCGCGATTATTTGAAAATGGAAGAAGTTCAAGTTGACAGTCAATCACCCTCGGTCTGGGGCTCCATGCAAGATCTCACCTAGTGGGGCGTCAATGATTTTGAGGAAGGTGAGGGATCAGCCCAGAACTACATGGCAGGACCTGGTCAATGACCTGAAGAGAGCTGGGACCACAGTCTCAAAGAAAACCATTAGTAACACACTACGCTGTCATGGATTAAAATCCTGCAGCGCACGCAAGGTCCCCCTGCTCAAGCCAGCGCATGTCCAGGCCCGTCTGAAGTTTGCCAATGACCATCTGGATGATCCAGAGGAGGAATGGGAGTAGGTCATGTGGTCTGATGAGACAAAAATAGAGCTTTTTGGTCTAAACTCCACTCGCCGTGTTTGGAGGAAGAAGAAGGATGAGTACAACCCCAAGAACACCATCCCAACCGTGAAGCATGGAGGTGGAAACGTCATTCTTTGGGGATGCTTTTCTGCAAAAGGGACAGGACGACTGCACCGTATTGACGGGAGGATGGATGGGGCCATGTATCGTGAGATCTTGGCCAACAACCTCCTTCCCTCAGTAAGAGCATTGAAGATGGGTCGTGGCTGGGTCTTCCAGCATGACAACGACCCGAAACACACAGCCAGGGCAACTAAGGAGTGGCTCCGTAAGAAGCATCTCAAGGTCCTGGAGTGGCCTAGCCAGTCTCCAGACCTGAACCCAATAGAAAATCTTTGGAGGGAGCTGAAAGTCCGTATTGCCCAGCGACAGCCCCGAAACCTGAAGGATCTGGAGAAGGTCTGTATGGAGGAGTGGGCCAAAATCCCTGCTGCAGTGTGTGCAAACCTGGTCAAGACCTACAGGAAATGTATGATCTCTGTAATTGCAAACAAAGGTTTCTGTACCAAATATTAAGATCTGCTTTTCTGATGTATCAAATACTTATGTCATGCAATAAAATGCAAATTAATTACTTAAAAATCATACAATGTGATTTTCTGGATATTTGTTTTAAATTCCGTCTCTCACAGTTGAAGTGTACATATGATAAAAATGACAGACCTCTACATGCTTTGTAAGTAGGAAAACCTGCAAAATCGGCAGTGCATCAAATACTTGTTCTCCCCACTGTATATTATTAAAGGTTTCCTATGAGCTGTCCTATATTTAGACTTCACAAACAGTCCTTCTGAGATCAAACCTAATGGACAATGACGACTTCATCAATCCCCATTAGTAAATCAATGTGGTGCTGATGAGCGCAGGTGTAACCATGTTGTCAGAGTCCAGCTGCAGACAGCGCAGCAGGTAGCACACCTGTCCCTGAGCAGCAAAGGTCACAGGTCACACTGAGTCAGAGAGGACCCATCTGTGCACATAACTCTAATGACTGGCCGGGGCAGACGGAGATAAATGCTCTTCACATCAGTGTCTCTGTCCTCCCAACACATACTAAGAGAAAGGCCTATACAGTCATACATCTGATTGATGAAATGGATCTGGAATGAATGTGCATCCTGAACTAGAGCAGAGTAAAGTAAAAAAAAAAAAAAGTATTTGAGTGGAGACTGGTGAATTGCACTGCACTCTAAAGGAGCCTATGCTCATTGGATGTGCACTTGAGGATTTGACTGTACCTATAGGGAATTAAATGCAATGCTTTGGATTTATTTCATTTAGCTAAAAAGCATGTGTTAAAGAAGTGCTAGAGCTCTTGTTTTAACAGAATATGTCCAAAACAATGATTCTAGTGGTGTCAATACATACAGTTGTGTATTCTCACTTGTATGTTCCTAATCGATAGTGGCTTCTCTTTTGGATCTGTCTGTCAGGTATGTATCAGCAATGACCACCCCAACCTGCCTGTCTCCTGTGGAGTTGCTCTCTCCCGTGACCCCGGGCTCCCCTCCTTCGGAGATGTCAGCCCCCATGTCCAGCATGGCAGTCAGCCCCTCTGGCGAAGAGGAGCACCCCCTGCTATTCACCACCCCGCCGTGGCCCCGTGACAAGCCGCCGCTCCCCAACCACCACCACCACAGCAAGTCCAAGAGGAACTCTGCCCACTACAACCATGGCCACAAGGTCCACAGCCCCCCGCACAGCCCGCTGAGGATTGTCGAGGACGATGACTACGAGACCACGCAGGAGTATGAGGCGGTCGCCGCCATGGTCGCGGTACCACCCGTTCCCCCGCAAAGCCTCACTAAAAAACTCACTAACAGCTACAATGGCCGCCGGGCCAAAAGAACAAAGCCCAACGGCCACGCGGTGGGCAACAAAACGGAGTCCAACGACCGAGGGAGCAGCTCGGAGAGCGAGACGGAGGAGGACTATCGCGTGGGAGAGGACACGCCCTTCCTAAGCTTACAGGACCCCATGGCTGCAGGTGTGGAGCCGCTCACAGACAGTAGCAGGACTTACCCAGCACTCCGACTCTCCCCACAGGATGACCTGCAAGGCAGGTTATCCAGCGTTATCACCAACCAAGATCCAATTGCTGTATAAGGTGAAAAATGAAAAATATTGTTTCGAAAAATACGTCAGATTCAAAAAGAAATAGTACAGAATCACTACTAAACCTTTATTTTCTATGAATTAAATATTTCCACACAAAAAAGAGAAGATAAAAAATGTTTATTTTAGTGAAGAAGTGAATAAAGTATTTTATAAATAAATAAAAATGTGTACAAACATGTGCCATACACTAGTATGTACCAATGGTTCACAGTATTTCAATGGAGAAAAATATCAATGGTGCCTTTAATTTCCGTTTGGTGTGCTTAAGGGAACTGCATCACGACTCTGGGCCATGTACAGTGCCTTGCAAAAGTATTCATCCCCCATTGGCGTTTTTTCTATTTTGTTGCATTTCAACGTGTAATTTAAATGGATTTTTATTTGGATTTCATGTAATGGACATACACAAAATAGTCCAAATTGGTGATGTGAAATGAAAAAAATAACTTATTTCAAAAAATTATACAAAATAAATAACGGAAAAGTGGTGCGGGCATATGTATTCACCCCCTTTGCTATGAAGCCCCTAAATAAGATCTGGTGCAACCAATTACCTTCAAAAGTCACATAATTAGTTAAATAAAGTCCACCTGTGTACAATCTAAGTGTCACATGATCTGTCACATGATCTCAGTATATACACACCTGTTCTGAAAGGCCCCAGAGTCTGCAACACCACTAAGCAAGGGGCACCACAAAGCAAGTGGCACCATGAAGACCAACTAGCTCTCCAAACAGGTCAGGGACAAAGTTGTGGAGAAGTACAGATCAGGGTTGGGTTATAAAAAAATATCTGAAACTTTGAACATCCCACAGACCACCATTAAATCCATTATTAAAAAATTGAAAGAATATGGCACCACAACAAACCTGCCAAGAGAGGGCCGCCCAACAAAACTCACGGACCAGGCAAGGAGGGCATTAATCAGAGAGGCAACAAAGAGACCAAAGATAACCCTGAAAGAGCTACAAAGCTCCACAGCGGTTATTGGAGTATCTGTCCATAGGACCACTTCAAGCCGTACACGCCACAGAGCTGGGCTTTACGGAAGAGTGGCCAGAAAAAAGCCATTGCTTAAAGAAAAAAATAAGCAAACACGTTTGGTATTCACCAAAAGCCATGTGGGAGACTCCCCAAACATATGGAAGAAGGTACTCTGGTCAGATGAGCCTAAAATTTAGCTTTTTGGCCATCAAGGAAAACGCTATGTCTGGCGCAAACTCAACACCTCTCATCACCCCAAGAACACCATCCCCACAGTGAAGCATGGTGGTGGCAGCATCAAGCAGGGACTGGAAACTGGTCAGAATTGAAGGAATGATGGATGGCGCTAAATACAGGGAAATTCTTGAGGGAAACCTGTTTCAGTCTTCCAGATATTTGAGACTGGGACGGAGGTTCACCTTCCAGCAGGACAATGACCCTAAGCATACTGCTAAAGCAACACTCAAGTGGTTTAAGGGGAAACATTTAAATGTCTTGGAATGGCCTAGTCAAAGGCCACACCTCAATCCTATTGAGAATCTGTGGTATGACTTAAAGATTGCTGTACACCAGGAGCTGGAGCAGTTATTACTTGAAGAATGGGCAAAAATCCCAGTGGCTAGATGTGCCAAGCTTATAGAGACATACCCCAAGAGACTTGCAGCTGAAATTGCTGCAAAAGGTGGCTCTACAAAGTATTGACTTTGGGGGTGAATAGTTATGCACGCTCAAGTTTTCTGTTTTTTTTTGTCTTATTTCTTGTTTGTTTCACAATAAAACATTTTTTGCATCTTCAAAGTGGTAGGCATGTTGTGTAAATCAAATGATACAAACCCCCCAAAAAATCCATTTAATTCCAGGCTGTAAGGCAAAAAAATTGGAAAAATGCCAAGGGGGTGAACACTTTCATCTCGCTGTTGGCATTTCTACTTGACTCTTAAAACAAAAAAATCCACCAGCACTATGCATGTACTATAATGACGTGTATGAACTACTCACTGTAAGCTCCATACAATGGTATACTACTGAATCTGTGGTATTGCTTATGTGTTCAAGTGCATGTCATTTTCTCCTCATTTACAGTAATGCTGTCATAGCCTACTAACAGAGGTGCATACAACAAAGTATTTAGTGTTTACCTAATACAGCACCAAAATATTATACAGGATTTCACGATTTTCCTACTCACTTTTGGTTGACAAATGGTAAAAGAACATTTGATTAGACTTTATGCTTTTCTTGGCACGTTAGCTAATAATACATCAATTACCAAGTCAATCACCTAGCAAGAATGTTGAATGTGTAATCTGATTAACATGTATCAATCCGTTGATACTAGAAGAATGAATTAAATCAAAAAAGTTAAATTGGGTAAAGGTTTGATTTAGTATCTTGGGACATTTAATGAATGCACTATATCTATCCTTACCATTATACTCTATATTGCGTTCTATATAATAGATCAAATTATTATGAGATGATAAGTAATGAATGTATTTACTCATCTCTGGTTAAGTAATACTCTGTAAGATTCTCTCACTATATTCACATCTCATGACTTTTGTAAATTGTAGAGACATGTACTGAATGAATGATTTAATATATGACTCACTTGGTCAGTCTTTCTTTTTTTCCCCTCTTTTTTTTAACCCCTCCCCCTTTCTCCCCAATTTCGTCATTACAATCTTGTCTCATCGCTGCAACTCCCCAACGGGCTCGGGAGAGGCAAAGGTCGAGTCATGCATCCTCCGAAACATGACCCTCCAAACCGCTCTTCTTAACACCCACCCGCCAGATGCACCAATGTGTCGGAGGAAACACTGTTGAACTGACGACTGCCACAAGGAGTCGCTAGAGCGCAATGAGCCAAGTGAAGCACCCCCGGCCAAACCCTCCCCTAACCCAGACAACGCTGGACCAATTGTGCGCTGCCCTATGGGACTCCCGGTCACGGCCGGTAATGACACAGCCTGGGATCGAACCCCAGGCTGTAGTGATGCTGCAACACTGCGATGCAGTGCCTTAGTCAGTCTTTGTCAGTCTTTCAACAACACATCCGTGGGTAGTGCATTCTGGGGATCAAAGATACAGCACCAATTTGAAATAAGGTAGATAGCAAAAGCTTTTTCGTTTGTTTCAACTGTGTTTTAGTATGTTAGTCAAGTTCTGCATTTTTGTCCTTCTAAACATTCACGGAAAATGTTACATTATCCAAAATGTTATTTTGTGTTCATACAGTACATATTTGTTTTCAACTGTCCGACTTTGTGTTATCTCTGTATAATATCATCGACATTAACCTATTTTATTATATAATATTTATGTTATATCCCAAGGATACGTTTAGGAGTCATGCTAGACAGGAACCACATGAGATATGGATTGAATGGGAAGTCATGGCCTGCAGAAGACTGTCACCAATAATTGATCACTATAATGAATAGGTAACTAGACAAGTTCTCTTTACTACATGATCACTTTTGGGGCTTCATAACCAAACCTTAAAGATTCAGGGTTTCCAAATGGTAATTTCCTCTTCACAATCGACAGTCTCCAATCTGCTTGTCGCTAGCATTAGCATGACACTATGGTATGAAGGCTTCCCACCCCCCCTAAGTTATACGGTTGTAATGATGATGGCCCAATCTGAAATGTATCAACAGATGTATGTATTTATATTATTTATTTATTTATTTTGTGGGCCTTATGTTATCTTTTAATTACAGATTGCATATATTAATCAGTGTTTTATATTTTGGGTTGGTATGTATTTGAAAAGTAGGAACTTTTATATTTTGTATCCATTGTGTTTTTCTGTCCCCTTATGCCTTTATATACAGTGGGGGGAAAAAAGTATTTAGTCAGCCACCAATTGTGATTGTTCTCCCACTTAAAAAGATGAGAGAGGCCTGTAATTTTCATCATAGGTACACGTCAACTATGACAGACAAATTGAGAAGACAAAAATCCAGAAAATCACATTGTAGGATTTTTAATGAATTTATTTGCAAATTATGGTGGAAAATAAGTATTTGGTCACCTACAAACAAGCAAGATTTCTGGCTCTCACAGACCTGTAACTTCTTCTTTAAGAGGCTCCTCTGTGCTCCACTCTTTACCTGTATTAATGGCACCTGTTTGAACTTGTTATCAGTATAAAAGACACCTGTCCACAACCTCAAACAGTCACACTCCAAACTCCACTATGGCCAAGACCAAAGAGCTGTCAAAGGACACCAGAAACAAAATTGTAGACCTGCACCAGGCTGGGAAGACTGAATCTGCAATAGGTAAGCAGCTTGGTTTGAAGAAATCAACTGTGGGAGCAATTATTAGGAAATGGAAGACATACAAGACCACTGATAATCTCCCTCGATCTGGGGCTCCACGCAAGATCTCACCCACCCAAAGTAACAAAGCCTACCATCAGTAACACACTATGCCGCCAGGGACTCAAATCCTGCAGTGCCAGACGTGTCCCCCTGCTTAAGCCAGTACATGTCCAGGCCCGTCTGAAGTTTGCTAGAGTGCATTTGGATGATCCAGAAGAGGATTGGGAGAATGTCATATGGTCAGATGAAACCAAAATATAACTTTTTAGTAAAAACTCAACTCGTCGTGTTTGGAGGACAAAGAATGCTGAGTTGCATCCAAAGAACACCATACCTACTGTGAAGCATGGGGGTGGAAACATCATGCTTTGGGGCTGTTTTTCTGCAAAGGGACCAGGACGACTGATCCGTGTAAAGGAAAGAATGAATGGGGCCATGTATTGTGAGATTTTGAGTGAAAACCTCTTTCCATCAGCAAGGGCATTGAAGATGAAACGTGGCTGGGTCTTTCAGCATGACAATCATCTCAAACACACCGCCCGGGCAACGAAGGAGTGGCTTCGTAAGAAGCATTTCAAGGTCCTGGAGTGGCCTAGCCAGTCTCCAGATCTCAACCCCATAGAAAATCTTTGGAGGGAGTTGAAAGTCCGTGTTGCCCAGCAACAGCCCCA